CACAGTACCTGTATGTACCACCATTCACCTACTTAGCTGGCCACACACCTGTGAGCAATGATGCCGATTTCAACAATCGTCTTTGTCGTCATCCCGCCTGCCACTGTTGATCAACTTGCAACTTTCCACGTCGCACATTGGCGTCCTGCGCCAACACAGTTACACGAGGGATACCTCGCATCTAAACTAACAAACATGGATGAAGTTTCACACACGTCCGACATTACAAACATGGATTCCACTGAATCAGGTCTGCGCAGGCTGACGTGTCGATTCACGTGCACTGATTACCCTGCGCTAGCGGTCCCTGTTATACAGAGAGTTGCGCCATGCACGAGTCGAAAAAAATCCGGGTCACGTGGATCGCTGCCGCATGTTGTTTCCAAATGGATCCACACCGTCTGCCGCTTAAGTTACAGCGCTGTATGGATACGCTGTAGAATTGTCCGTAGTAATATGTTTATAATATTGACTAATCCGTTAGGGTCTCAATAAACTCAAGATTTACAGAAGATTATAGCTAAGACATGTGTCTATGTGTAGCTTAGATTTATAGAACTGCAAAACAAATATTTACAAGCGCGAGCAAGTGGGAGTGGAACGCATTTATCATCGCTGAATTACAGTTTGCGCGGTTTAGCTGCACAGGCTAATTACGCACGGCTATTGCGGCGCGTAAGAAAGTGTCTACTACCAGTAAAAACCCGCGTATTAGTGTGACGATATACATTAGTTTTTCCAGTTTAGCCTCAACAATGTTCTTATTAAATTGGTGCTTACTGAAAAAATTAGGCCTCAAAAAGGCTTTCTTAAATAGGCTTCTTAAATTGTTTCTACTTTTAATATGCTTACTAGCTGAAACCCGCGCCTATGCGCGCGGCGCTTCTTAGTGACTGCCTGATGCAATGTGTTACAGTACGCAGTTAGTGTGATGCTGCTAAGGTGTATAATATGCGAGAGTTTAGTTGTTGCCACATGTTTGCTTGATTTAGGTTGAAGATAATATTATATGATATATATAATATAATATTATATAATATTATATTATTTAATAGATATGATAGTTATTGTAGCATTGGCATGGCATTGTTCTTATTGCATGCGATATTGCTTGCAGCTCGCTCTTTTTTTATTTTACCTGTGTTTCTTTTTAATGTCTTCAATCTGCATGGAAAAATTAAGAACCTAGCTTATTAAAATCTTAGGTCCTAAAACGAGGTTGCTTATTGGAAAGGGGGTCTGAAATGGGAAGATTTTAGCTGCCTAACATGTTTCTTAAAATCTATGTAATCTTATACCGCTGGTTTTTTTACTGTGTATCATATGGCACGGAACGATTTGCAGTTACATTTCATATTAAATCTAGGCTACAGCATAGACACATGTCTTAGCTATAATCATCATGTAATTTTTTGAGTTTATTGAAGCACGATTAGTCTAATTAATTACTCCGCCGACCAATTGATACAGCGTATCCACTACAGCGCTTGTACTTAAGCGGACAGCGGTGTTGATCATTTGGGGCAAACAACCCATGGCGTCAATATCCTTGAGTATGGCGCCAAACTCTCTGTTATATAGGGACCCTACCCTGCGCTATCCCCACAGCGCATGTAACACTCATAAGACAGGACCCGAACACCTATTAGCCTTGATCAGGACCTTAGGTAAAAAGTAAGGGAGGGACTGCAGCTCTGTGAGCCTTACAAAGTCACAAAGTGTGCGTTTCAACATGTTATAGTAAGTGACATTAAAGTCCACTACCAGCACGAGTTGCCTAGAGGTAGAGGCGATTTCAGGGCTCCACTGAAATTTTTTCCAGCAAGTGCTGCAGTTTGTCGGCTTTACTTGCCTGGCGGCAGTTTACCATAAAATTGGCCAAAACTGCCGCTGGCGGATGTTCTACCTAGTATGCATCCACGCCCTTCTCTACAAAATCCCATATAGCACATGTATCGACATGTCCCTATGTGAATCAGTATGGGAAATAACGTCTAATTTTTGTGTTAAGAACTCTTCTTTGAAGCAGATGTACAACTTGGTTGCACCTCTATCCTGCCCTGGGGCCCTACCACCCCAATCTGATTAAACACAAAGCCAACACTTGCCTTGATTATAATTAAAAACTAAAGATAGAGAATCGACTTCACCCCTTTGACTTTACAGCACTGACTTTCTGCCATTTCTGTCGTGCCCTTAATTAAAAATAAAGTTTAACAGACGACCTCCCTCTCAAACCCGCCTCTTACTGACCTTCCCTCCTCAACCCGCCTCTCTGACCTCCTCCTCAACACCGCCTTCTTGACCTTCCCTCCTCAACCCGCCTCTCTGAGCCTCTCCTCCTCAAATCCCGCCTCTCTGACTCCCTCCTCAACCCGCCTCTCTGACCTCCGCTCCTCAACCCGCTCTCTGATCCTCCCTCCTCAACCCGCCCTCTCCGACCTCTCCTCCTCATACCCGCCTCTCTGACCTCCCTCCTCATACCCGCCCTCTCGCCACCTCCCCTGCCTCAACCCGCCTTCTCTGCCCTCCCCTCCTTCAACCCGCCTCTCTGACCTCCCTCCTCAACCCGCCTCTCTGACCTCACCTCCTCAACCCGCCTCTCTGACTCCCTCCCTCAACCCGCCTCTCCGACC